GTGAATGGAATCTATTATTGGGGCACTATCGACGGAATCAAATGAAATGAAATTATCATGATTAAGTTTAAATATACATTTCTTCCTAGGCGATAAATGCAGCTTCTGTAATGAAATCCAGTCCTCCAGCCTCTACCAAATTCGACTCCAGCTTCGCGTGGTTCCTCGCCTTCATGCTTGTGACAGTCTTTCTCCTCATTGTCCTCCTAACTGTGATATGCATACTCGCCTACTTTGTTTATCGACTGCGTCGACAGTCAGCACGTCTGCCACCCGGTCTTGACACTGAAGGAGATGTAATCTACGGTTTCTCAAACAAACATGCTGAGTTAATAGAATACCGAAGCAGTGCTCCACCCAGTAATGCCTCACTCACAGATCCATGGAATACACGCCTAGGAAGTAGTATTGAGCACTGCGACTGTCACCTTTTGCACCGAGAAGAGTTTGAGCGTCGACGAGAAAACCTCATTAGACGAGGAGTTCAATTCCATACCTATCCCAAGGTAGGAGTCCCCGTGACACATAATGGATGGATACAAAGGGTCCTATCACAACCAGGAACTCTACATTTTCATCAGAGTAGAGTTTCCTCAATGCACGAGGAGCGGAGAAAACCATCGGTACCAAAAAATAGAATGGTGGAACGACTACTCATCGAGGCTGTTCAACAAGGAGAAGTAAACCTCACATGGCCTAAGTAGTTCGGAAACCGTAACTAGTATCTGGCTGCAGAATAAATGTATCCAAACAAAAACTTGGATGGTTTCGATCTGTATCTACTGTTTAGCACAACGAAACACTTATGCTCTTTGCAGAAATATTTTAAGTTCCCAGCATATCATGCTATAGGCAAGCAGAGGATAGGGTTTAGTTAACAACGCAAACTTTACTTCCTTATGCTGTTTTAAGGAAAGGTTTAACATAAATTTCAGTCAATCTTAGCCTTTTGCCTACGAAATGCCACAGTTGCGATAATTTAGGCGTATTTAACTTTGTTCCTGTGATACTAAAGTTCAAGAACTCCATTCTGTCAAAAAATTTCATAAAATTTCCGGAATAACTTATTTATGTATTCATTTAATTAAACAAAATGTTTACAATATATAAACAGCATTAATCAATGCAATCCTCGGTTTAAAATAGTTTAGACAATTTCTGATTGTCATTTGTAAATGAATTACTAAAAGCAAATGCTAAATCACTTATGGATGTGTGGGCACCCATGCACATATGGTTCAGCAAAATCGCAAGGACA